TAACTAAGACAAAGAGGTACGGGCTCAATGCTGCCCCTTAATGTAGATGTATTGTCACCGAAAGCTCACTCGTCTCTCTACTAGTTGTTCGTACACTAATTAGTGCTCCATCATACATATCTCTCACCAAATCGATGTAGTGTTTAGATACATATTTCTTTTCCAACACCCACCAAATCAAATCTCGAGGTACTCTACCATAAGTTTTCTCTAGATCAATAAAGGCCAATTGGAGATCTTTTCCCTTCACCCTAAAGATCTCAATCAGTTGCCTAAGTAGGAAAATAACCTCAGCTGTTGACCTGCCTGACATAAAACCAAATTAGTTTTCAGATACAAACCTTAGTCATTGCTTAATGACTCTCACCCAGAGCTTCATAGTATTCATAAGCTTGATCCCTCGATAGTTTGCACAATTCTGTATGTCTCTTTTGTTCTTGTAAATAGGTACCACAATACATTTTCTCCATTTATCTGGCATTTTCTTTGTTCTCAAAACCTTGTTGGACAGCTTCGTCAGCCAGTAGAAGCCAATTTCCCCCATGCACTTCCAAACCTCTATCGGGGATACCACCGGGTCCCAAAGCCTTACCTATCTTCATCCTTTTCAAAGATTCTTTCACTTCCGACATCTTAATCCTACGAATGTATTTATGACCTCCATTGTCACTTGTACCAACAGTCCCTTCCACCACTATGTTCCTACTGTGCTCGTCATTTAATAATTTTTAAAAATAGAGTCTCCACCTTTCTTTGACCTCGTCATCCTTCACCAAGACGCTTTGATCCTCACTCTTGATGCATTTAACATGGTTTACATCCATACACTTTTTCTCCCTTATTTTTGCTAATTTGAAGATATCTTTTTCACCTTCTCTTATTGCTTGGTTAATGTATAGATTATCATATGCCTTGAGTTTAACTTTACTTACTATTTGTTTAACATTTTTCTTAGGATTTTTATATTATTCTCAATGTTCAATAAGTCAGAGGAGGCCGCCTAGATGGTGGGAAGCCTGGGCAGCCTAGGCGCAGTTTTGTCGCTTCTAAGTTTTGGCCATTTCTATTACACTGCCAAGTTTTATGACATGGTTGTTTTTCGCTAATGGCCTTCTGAACCTCATCATTCCACCACCAAGTTTCCCTATCGAAGTTTCTTTTATCTCTAGATTCTCCTAAAACTTCTTTTGCTACTTTCTTGATATATTCAGTCATCTCAATCCATATTATATTGACATCATGTTCAGAGTTCCATTTTCCTTCTTCAAGTAATTTATATCTAAATAAGTCTATTTCTCATTTTTTAAATTCCACCACCTAGTTCTTGGACACCCATTACTTTCACCCCTTCTCCTCCATGTCTTTATGCAGACGTCCACAACCACGAGTCTACGTTGGGTAGTCAAACTCTATCCTGAGATAACCTTGCAGTCTTTACATGATGGTTGATCTACCTTCTTAACTAGGAAGAGGTCTATCAGGCTTTTATGTCTTCTACTTTTATAGGTTATTAAATGTTCACCTGGCTTTTTAAAGTAAATCTTTCTATTGCTAGGTCGTAGGGCCATAGCAAAGTCTAGAATAGTCTCATTCATCTCAATTATTTCCCCAAACCCATATCCGTCATGTACCCCTTTATATCCTCTACTATCCTTCCCTACATGATCATTTAGGTTCCCTCCTAAAAAGGTCGTTCTCTCTCCATTTGGTATGTCTTGGACTATTCCATCCCAAAATTTTCTCTTAATTCTATTCCCGAGCCTCGAGCCGGGCTGGCCCGGGCCCAATTCGTTGGCAGCCCTACTTATTTGTGCAACACCTTTGTGCATCTAAGCAATGCCTAATGGCTTTCCTTTCAGTTAAGCAACATTTTTAAGGATAACAAATCTAGGAAGAGACAAAGATCCCAGAATGCCAAGCATGGTTGAGTGCACCCTAAGGAACGTAGCAACTCTTTAACTTGATCACAGTGCTGGTATAAAAATCATTACTGTAATCAATACCTACATCGTTTACATGGAGAAAAATCACAAATTGTAGCATTAATTAGAACTGTCATCGCACATAAGCCTTTGTGAATGCATTAAAACCTAGGAGGTCCCCTATCCCTCTTTTTAACCTATAAGCCATGTGAAAGCCAGCGACTAGTCCCTCATGTAATGTCCTAGAGAGAAGCTACTAGAAAGCACCTACTATAGATAAGGGGTCCCCTATTCATAGAGCTCAAGAGAGGTAGAGAGGAAAATATGTGAACCAGCTTCTCTAGTTAGATTGGAAGATTTATGGAGTGAGAAGGCTGGTCCCAACCATCCATCCCTTGCTTAGCCAACATGAATCAAGGCGGATAGTGCTCTAGCAGGATTTCTGATTTCAATACTATTCCAATTATATATGGAGACCAATAGATCCTTACAACGAAACTTCCGGTTCCATTTGGATTCCTTAGCAAATTCCAATTAGATTTGGGATTCCCTCTAAGATTCTATTCATAAACACTTATAGATTCTCCAACCACTTTAGATTGCCAAAATTTTTCCTATTAACCACCTAGATCTTCCTGAATTTTATTTGCATTAAGAACCCTCCATGATGTTCATGCACCACCTAGGAGTCTTAGTGGACTCCATGTCGTTTGATTCTTTGACCAGCCACGTGGTCCCTATGACCAGTGGTCAAAGTGTGTAGCCTCACTTAAACAAAATCGTGTCCAAGTTTGGCCCCATGTGATCCACATAGCTCCTCCATTGTTATCTTGTAAACAATTTTGATAATTTTTAAACACAAAATTCATAATGCGATATTTTGGTGGTTAAATAAAGAAAATAAAAAAAATCCTCAAAGAACCTTTGGAAAACCTCTTAAAAGCAACTAGAAGAGTAGCCATTGAAACGGGATCTTTCTACAAGGCATTCCATGACCACCTTATATCCACATGTAGACCCCAAACCAACCCAACAGACTAATGACCAACATGTCTCCCGCGCAAGGTGCTCATGATTGACCTATCAAAGTCACCAAGGCATAGAAGTGATGCAGTCCACAAGCCATAGATTCCACTCTCCACAAACACAAGTTAGGGTCTAATGCACAGAGCACAAATACTTATTTAAGAGTTCAAAGGTTTCCTCCTCATAGGGGAGTCTCTCTCATGCACATGCATGACAATCGTCACAGAGAACTCCAACAAAACTCCGGGATTACGAAGATCTGAGGAAACTACAAGCATGTAGATATGTAGGGTTCCATTGCCAAGGTTTTCAAGCACTTGTCCTCAAAAGCCCTCAAACATCCTACATCACATGAGCCTCTTTCTTCCCCTGGCCAACCAAACATAATCAACCCTGGCTGCAGCCGACCTCAACAGGTCATGCATGGACCCTCTCTGGCAATGCACATTAAGAAACCAACACAACCAGCTTAGGTTGCAAGCACACTCATTTAGCCAAGGCCTAATCGCACGCCAAAGTGAGAATGAAGGAGCTCACTACACCCCATATAGAGTCTAGCTCCCTACTCATTCTACACTCTAGGTACCGCAGTTAAGCACAGTCTTTCAAACTAAGGGCAATCCATAAACATAAAGCATGAGGACACATACATGGTGGAAACACAACAGAGCTTTAATCAAAGATCAAGTGTATAGGTATTTCATCATCATTGTCAGAGTCTTTTCCAAACTAATTAGGGTCGGACAAGCTTTTCATTATCATCCTCAGAACCCAATATTAGGATGTTAAAATTGTTCAATTGCCCTGCAGCACATGACACTTGAAGGTGATCAATATTGGGTTTTTGTAATCTTTACATGCCCAAGTGTATAGGCATTTAAATGTTACAAACACCCAATATTGATCACCTTCAAGTGTCAAGTGCTGCTGAGCAATTGAATAATTTTAACAGCCTAATCACTATGAAAATTTTGCTTCACCTCCAATCTAATAAGGATTCCACTTCAACTATTCAGCTTTATGGATTCACAGAAAGACAGAGGGGAAGGACACGTCATCCAACAAGGCATCATAAATATGAACTCTCCACCAACCACCACAAACCTACAACACTCTCGCCCCGGCAGAGAGGGGAAGGACACATCATCCAACAATGCATCATAAATATGAACTACTCTCATCCGCAACCACAAACCTACAACACTCTCCCCCCGGCCCATCACTTTCAAACCTGCCTCCATAAGTCCTCTCAAGTTCCATCTCAAATATCCAATAAACCCATAGAACCCCAAAAGTATGAATACAACACAATACCGAACACTCGAACTACATGAGACCACCATTAACCTTGTACAACTCATCCTTCAACACCCTTTACAAAACTTCCTAGCTTTTTGTTTTTCACTTTTACTTTTGTATTCTTTGATGGATCAGGAAACTTTGTGGAGTTGTGCGTGCATTTACACATTCCCAACTTGTTTCTATTTAAATTAAGGAGATTTAGACTTAGTTGGCACAAAGCTTCTGAGTTACAATCTAGAAGCAATAAAGGACATTGTTTCAATTTTAAAACTTAAATTTCACATTCAAATAAGCTGCAACAAATGATGCCTGCACATCAAAAACCAAGGAAGAAACCAATTGCTAATACTTTCAATTACGTTAAGGAAATTCAGATTAATAAAATTTGGATCTGTTAAGTAACACACTAACAATAATTATGGTAAGTAACACACTAATAATAATAGACAAGTCTTATCATACTTACCCAAAAAAACAACAAGGCTTACCATGTCTAACTTCATTCATCAAAAAACAAAGACCATCAATAGAGGAGTTCAACCATATCATAAGACACGGTCATAAAATGGGGAGTCAAAAGGTGTACATAACAAAAATTAAATGAAAGGGAGATCTATGGAGAGAATCAATTTTGGTTATCATTAACCAAGTTACTCCATGTCACTACCAACTTAATCCATGTCATTACCAAGTTACTCCATGTCAAATGTAAGCCTAAGCATAAAATAAAGCAAACAAGATTTTCATTACCTGTCTCACACCAGCAGAATGAGCAGGCCCACCAAGAACAATGCCTAAGACCTTTAATTTGGCGGAACCATCGTCATTAGGAACTTCTCTAAGATTCATTCCAACCCCAGTAATATCATACCTAGCCATCTTTGAGAACTGTAATAAAGAAAAATTTAGAAACAACTGGACTATAGGATAGATAATGAAAGAAACATTCAAAACTACTCATTAGTACCAATATTTGGTCATAGAAATAACTATTTAGATGTCAGTGGAGTAGAGTCAGTAAACACATTGGAATTAGCATTGACTATATCATATGGGCACTAGAAGATCTAAAAATAACAATGGAAACTCTCATCAAATAGTAAAAGACACATGAGCACACAACAGGGCACATGCAAGCAAAGCATCATGATTCAAGCTCAGGATGTAACATGAAGAAAGGCCCAGCTACTCAGAATGAAATTTCCCCAGGGAAGATCAGACCCAATGGGAAACTAATGTACATAGAAGGGTAGTTTGGTAATGGTGCACAGTGCAGTAAGTAGTGGAAATCTTGGACTTAAGAAACCCCTTAAAACCAGTTTTGAAAGCATATTGTCAGACCCCCATCCTGTAGCATACCAAATCCATTTTACCAAAAGGAAACCATGATACAGTGGGATTTGTTTGAATAACATCGAAACTTGCTTAAGATATTTCTTTCACTTTCTTCATCATTTGTGATTTTCTTAAAGGGTGCGGTTTCTACAAGGTTGCAACCTTAAACAATCCAATTAAGGTGCACCTCCAAAATTTATCACAACGTGTAATTTTGTTGTAAAAAATTCTTAGGATTATCTTAAAATCTATTTTCATATCTAATTAGAAAATTTTAAACTCCAAAAATAGTTAAAATCAAGGAGATCCATAAACATATGAAAATCTTGAAAATGGACGGCCTAGATAATGTGGTGCAAGATGCACTATTTCTGAGACTCAAAAACTTTTTTTTTATATTCATACTTCGCGATGTCGAAATGATCAAATACAGGGTTTTTCAACATTAAAACAATCTTTCCGATGGATTTTGGAGGTGCATCTGTAATTCTACATTTTAAGGTTGCAACCTTATATAAACTTTTCCCTTTCTTAAATTCTTAATGTGCTCTCAAAAATCAATGAGAGTGGCTACTAAATGAATGAGCGTACCTTACTGACATTCATCAATGTCACCAATCTCCATGCAAGGCTTCCTAGGAACCCTATATGAGCTATATCCAATGGAATGGTGTATACAGATGGTTGGGAGCCTCCTAGATGTTCACACTTTGTTAGGCCTGATATCAGACCATCCTTTCACGCAACTAGCTTAATTCACTTAAAGGTGTGCGTAAACCTATAGCTATCAATGAGTGTGTATATATAGAAGTGTTTCTGGGATATGGTGCTGCTCAAAAAGGTTATCACTACAATGATCCAAATTTGATATATTATACATTTTAAGGCATGTTTCTTTGAAGAGTTCTTTACTTTAAGATTTCAAAAGGTCTCTAAACCTCAACCATTCACTTATTTACCTTAGTTTCTTGAGCCTCCAAAACCTTTCTGGTTCTTCTCCCAAACCTCCTCACAATCTATACTGGATATAACAGCCCTCTAGTTTGAAAAGTGTGGCTATGTGAAATTCAAGGTACTAAATTCAAAAACTTTCTTTTTTTTTTAATTCAATATACTTAAATTCCACTTACATAGGCTACTATATACTGCTGTAAATCAAAATTAATAGCTTAGTTACAACCTAGGATCTTTACTTTCACTGTCAAAGCAAATAAAAACCATCCTGAAGCAATAAACAATCTTCCACTATTGTTTTGAGTATAATATATGTTACTGGAAATTTACAGAAAACTACCAAATATTACTGAAAAATAATTAAATCTACTGGGAAGACTTACTAGAAGGTGACTAGAGTTACCCTCACAGGTCTTGATCCACCCCACACTCAATTCTCTGATCGATGGCACACTTTTACTCATTTGGGTGTTGCTGGAAATTCTGAGATGGGAAGCTTTTCAGGTTATACCTGTCAATCTAGGGTTTGAGAGAGCTCAAAAACTTAACTAGGATTTCCACAAATCCTATAAGACTCTATGATTTCTACAAACTTAATTAGGATTTCTTCCTTCTTTCTTCAAATACTGCAAACCTAATTCGCATTTGAAAGTGCCACCTCCTTTTTTCTTTTTATGGGTGGCGTGACTCTCTATGAGACAAAGGGGAGAGAGAGACATGATTAAAATTGAAAGAGAGAGATTGAGAAATATGGGGTGTGTAGGAAAGGGAGAGAATTTTTTTGCACGAGAGGGAGAGAAGTATGGCATTAGAGAGAGAGAGAGATCTTAGGGCATGAGAGAGAGATCTTAGGGCTTGAGAGAGAAATCTTATCATTTTTTTTGAGATATGGTTCTAATAGATTTAAATAGAATAAAATCTATTTCCCATTTTGAATAAGATTCTAATCTAGGTATCCATTATCTAAATTTCCAGCTTGACCATTAGGATATTTAGGAAGTCTGTGGGGTGAGAGAGATCAAATCTAAGTCAGATCCCACCAATCAACCATCATAATTTTCGATGAAAATAGAAACTTTATCCCCATATAATTTGACCCAAATCCAACGTCTATATAAATTTGAATTATAACCACTTTTGTCATTATCTAGATCTTCCAAAATCTATAGGAAGTTAAAGATCATCTTTTTTAAAAAAAAAACACAAAACTCTCTTTTGAATAGGAATTAAATCTAGTTTAAAAATAGAAGATTCCCTATCTAACTAACTTCAACTAAAAGTGGCACATTTAAAATAAAAAATAGGGGCGCACCACCTAGGGGATCATGTGGGCCCCACATATTGGTGGTACACACATGTGGTGGATGGATCCTTGGTCCTCACATGTACCTTCTCAAGTTCTGAAAATTTCGAACAAGCCCTTTTAATGAATTTGACTGTAGAAAAAAAATTTAAATTTCTAAAAAAAATTGTAGAAATCATAAAAACATTTCTAAAACCGAAATAAAATAGTTTAGAAGTGGATTGATACCAATGAGTCAAAATTAGCGACGATAAGGGCACTCCATTTGACCCAAGAAGTAAGAACTATGATCCACTACTATTTTCTTATCCAACCCAACAAAAACCCATGACCCACAATCTCAATCTTGGGGCTCATGATTGGTTTGTTAAAGTTGGACAATAAACAGTGGGACTATGATCCTGGATTGTGAATTCCCTTTAAGAGCAAGTCTAACACTTATCACCACAATGCAAAGAGCGCTCTCTCTATGCACATATACACATGTCCTTCTATAGGGCTGCTTCCCAGTAATACGGTTGTCATATGTACATGTCTAGCGGAAGGTTGTTGAGGCTTTGGCCCTTGCTCTCATAGGCTTACAACCGCACACAAGTGACGACACAGTTCTCCTGAACTACAAATATCATCCATGGGCATCTCTTCGATCTCCACAAAGGATGACCCACCCTTCTCGATAGTGCCACATGCCCAAGGATAAGGGTTTTGGACATAACTACCCAACCCTTGGTCAGTCAACACACACAATCCTATTGAAGTCCATATTCCACTATAAATTATCATCTTTACAAGCTCTCTAGGCCTTTGAAGGCCAAAACCCGACACAGTTGTCCACCTTAATGTTACATGTGATGTAGTGTCCACTGACACCTTCCTAAGAGTTAACCATTAAGGCTACTATGCAATACAATCATAAAGCCATTTCTACTCCATCTGAGTTTCTTCTCAAGTCTGATAATATTTACGTTCCTCTCATTTGTTATGATTTTCAGTTTATAGTGCTCTGTCGTTTTGCTCTTGTTACTTCATTTACTTCATCATATTCTATTCTTGCACAACTAGTAACCACAAAGAGGCCTGGAAGCAAGGTTGTTGGAAGCATGTCATGGCTGAGGAACTTTAGGCTTTAGAACAAAATGATACTCATGACAGAATCCCTCTTTCTCCCAGAAATAATCTTACTGGGTGTAAATGGATCTTTGTTCTTTAAGATTGACCTTACTAGCTGGTAGCATGTAGAAAGCTCAGCTTGCAGCTAAAGCATACACAGAGGAGTATACTTCGGATTATGATGAAATATTTACTCTGATCACCAAACTACAGTGCGAGTTGTTTTATCAGTTGTAGCTACAAGACATTGAGATTTGCATAAAATGGACATAAATAACGCTTTTCAATTCAAACTAATGGTGCAAAATGAAATTTTTCTGGAAACCCTCTCTCAATTGCTCTCTCGTCAGTAATGGGGACCTCGCCGCTGGAAGCTTCTTCTCCCTTTAATAACAGATCCTTCCAAACTTAGGTTCGACTAGTAGAACCTTCTCCCCCCTTAGGGGAGATAGAGCCCAACAGCCTGCCCTAATGTTATACCAACATTTAACTCCAGTCTTGTGCCAACAATGCTGGCCTTCAGAACCCACTCGCAGAGTCCTTCATAGATATTCCCTCACCTACCACCCCTCTAACTACAATTACTTAATTTTCCTACATAAACCTAAAGATCCTGCTGGTCCATCTTCCTTTGCTTTTTATCATAGCCAAATCCGCCATCCACCCTACCTCAAAAAACCTTAATCTAAAACCCTCCAAATAAACTCAACTCCAGGTTCTAATCATGCCAAACAGACAGCAACTCACCCAGGGTCTCTGTTGGATGTATATGGCGGTTCAAGCCCTCAACACTGTTGGACTCGTACTCATTCTATGGCTCCAGTGGGAGCATGGGACCCAAAAAGGGCCCCGTGTTTGAGGCGACTCAGTGGGCCTAGACCGTCTGGGGCCCCGAGAATAAAATACTCAAAGTCACGAAACTATGTTCACGAGGATGGGCATGTCACCCATCGGCGAATCAAATAGGGTTTGGGATCATCACTTAGTCGACATTAGAGATATCCCTGTGGTTTTGGCTGGAAGGTAGAGTAGAACTTCTGCATGGGAAGGTAAGTCTATGAGGACAATGGATAGAGCCTCGACAACCACCTTCTGCATCGAATAGGGCAGTTCTCTAATTTGTGTGTATGTTAAATCGTTTAATATTGTAAAGTCATTGGCTGTAATATACAAGGGAAAACCTGTCTTTACTCAAGATGTAACATATGTTATAATACAAGAATTAGGGTTCTGCCATGGTGTGTGTTTTCATGGTAGAATGGTGTGCACCCCTTTTGTCTCCTCTTCTCTACGTTTTTCATTTTAATAGAACAAGGTTTGAATATGCTCTCAATGTGATCAACTATAATCAAGGGAACCCATATTTTCTTTTTCTTAAAGATTCATCATCTCTTTCTATTCTAAACCCTAATATTTCTTTCTTCATCTTCACCCTCTTTCATCATACTCATCCTTCTTTCCTAAATCCTAACTTTTCTCTCTCATATTTCCTCCCATATTGGGGGTACCAACTGTTCAAGCTACTATTCATTCTATTGTTCACGCTATCTTTGATGTTACTATCCTTTCGAGCCCATGTTTCAGCCACAAAATTCATGATTCTCCCTTAATCCAATATAAACCTTGATCTTGTTTAAAATCTATAACACTAGTATTCACAACCTATTTGTTGCTCTTCAAAAAAAAAACAAAAATTCCTAATTGTTGTTCTCCTTCTAGTCCAAAACACTAATTGCCCTTCTCTCTCGTGCTCTTCAAAACATAATTACTGTTCCCTGCCCTTCTTTCTTCTTCCTTGAAATCTCTTACTCTCTTGCTCTTCCTTATTCTATTAACAATGGCCTTAGCATCCGTTTCTTCAGCTTCTTCTACTTCTATTGGCAAAGGCCTATTGCCATGCAAACATAATCATCAAGTCTTACAGTTCAAGTTCTATGCCACCACTTTAGAAAGACTGTACATTTCAACTTGTTGTTACTCATTTGAGAGATAGAAATAGCATCTATTAGTGGATAAATTCAGTGTTTTTGTTTAAGAGTTTCATTCAAATTTTTTACGTCTCAGGCATGAACTACGTAAGCAAGAAGGAAGAAGTATTGACTGATTAAAGAAGACAAGATAAGCTAGCTAGAGTTTTACGCTTTTAGCTAGAGTTGGAATTTCTCATGTGTTAGAAGAAACAATCTTGTACGCAAAGTTCATGACAGATTCATTAAAATTTCGCACCGAGATTTTAGTAGACAATATAAGAGCGCCATTGAAGACATTTTTAATTAGAAATGCTTTCAAGAGAAGTTATTCGACAGATAATAATGAGATTGCAGTAGCAAAAAGCTCTAAAAACCATATAATTTCACAAAGTAAAGCAGAAAAGCCAAGAGCATAAAAGATCCATTAAGGGATAATACCTCCGATGGCGTTAGAAACCGAGTATATGGGTCAGCCAAGCTAGCTAACATACTTCTAATAATATCATGAGCTTGAGATCTTGTGTCAATGGAGCCAGAAAGAATCTCTTCTTGATTTTTCTGAAATAAAGCAACTATAAGGAAAAGTAAAGTAGTTTGAGAATCGGATCTCTGTTCAGCATGCTCAATTATCCACTTCCACAAGGAAACTTTAAACTTAATGGGGCTCGAAAGCAAGAAAAAGAACAAGAATTTCAGAAGTTACAACAATGCATTGCTATATACCATGTCAACTAAAAGGAGGTACAGCAGACCTTGGTTAGATAGGAATCTTCAAACACAAAACGACATTTGAAAGAGAACAAAAAAGTATTAGCAATGGAGGACGGCAAACCAAACGAAGATAGATGTAAATGTTATATGTCACATGTAGAGTGACTAAACATGACAAAATAGGACTCAAAAACCAATAACCTGGAACTCTCCCAAGTACAGTTATCATTATTCGCATTCCAAAGAGCCAACCTATCAAATATCTGTTCGTCGGTAGTGTAGAGGTCTCTGTGGACTCCCCCTCCAAGAGAGTTTATAAACGCATAGATAACAAGGTGAACATGGCATGGTAGCAGGAGCAGTTTGCTTTTTAAGTGTTCGCCAAAACATTTCATCATCCTGAAAATTGTCGCATTGCAGTAAATTATCAGTAAATGTATGTTCTTTAGTGTCCAAGATAGATTTTGAAGAGGTGATACCCCATGAAGATCAAACCTCCATCGCTAAAGAAGTCCCCCCACCGACCGAAAAACAGGATTATGCATTTCAATCAACAACCTTGTATGTATGTCGTACATCTGGTGATGGTGAAAAATGATGAGATATAATTCCCTTACACGTTGTCTAATGCACCACCAATGGATTTATGAGACTTCATGAACCAAACATTATTTGGTGCCCATGATGGATGAGTTCGGACGTCAAAAGTATGTTGCCTTGTGTATGGACTATGGAACAAAAGAAGCATGCTGTTAATTGTTGCCCTAAATTTATTGATTTCACGTGTGTATGAGCTACTGCAAGCATGACTTGTACTCCTCATTCATATAATCATTTCCATAAACAGTAGTAATGTATGACACATTCTCTTTAAAACTCATATCTTTAAATTTAAAAACTTTTCTTTTGTTCAACAAACTAAAACCTTACTGACAATCACCGCCAATATATGGGTCACCGAAATACAATTGGAAGCTTATGAGTAACTTTCAAGTAACTTTTCTAGCCATTACTCCTATTCATCCCAAACTAACAAAACCATTTCTCCAAGAGAGAAAATGAAATTACAGACCATGTTGATGTGTCACACTAATCATAAAATTAACGCCCATGGGGAACAGAAAACGGGAAACAAGGAAAACCCACTTCGCACATAATTCTCTAGCACATAACAACCTAAAGCGAGGGAGAGAGGAATAAACAAAACTCATTTTCCTCAAAATTTTCAAGAAAATAACAGCCAAAATCAACTCACATATAAAGAGAGAGGGGGCATGTTTAAGAAGGAAGCGAAATATTACCAGCCATTTTTCGGTAGACCAGCTGTGGAGATGAGCATCAAAGAAGCTATCATTTACGATTTGCCAAGCTTCCTCCACAATCCTTCGGTTCGGAACAAGCTCCAGGGAAAATTCTCTCACTTCATCTCCACCTTCTTCTGATTTACGGCAATCCGGAGCAGTGGCAGAGTGAGAAGGTAATCCTGCTGCTGCTTCCACTGCAACTGCCACTGAATTGGAGGAGAAGCTAAAGGATAGAACGCCTGCAACAGCGTGCAAAAGGATTTTCTCAGTCCAATTCAGAAGACGTTGTTCGGCTTGCATGAGCGGTGGCCATGAAAGATTAGTGAGATGAGGCTTAGAGTGAGGAGAGGATGGAGGGCACATGCAGTAGCTCAAAGACCCCATCACCCCCTGCGGTCCCTTGGCTCTCTGCCCCCACCTTGCATATGGGATCGATTTATTCATGAATCATTGTACAGAGGAAAAGGTTTGTATGAGTCCCCCGCCTCACCTTTCTAAAATGGAAATACGGAATTTCTGAAGGATATATAAGGGGACAATTGTCTGCATGTTTATCCTTTTTGTTACCGCTGCGTATTATGTCTTCCATTACTTACCATAGATTTTTGACAAGTGCAGGTTTAGCATATTATATCTTCTATTACTTAAGAAAACCTTGATATTACTATCCAGCTCTTGATCATAATCACGATGTAAATATATCATGCATTGTCATATATGATTGTTTTCTTTCATTCACTGGGTATTTGTAGGCCTCCTCTTCTCCTCTCTTTCCCTCTGTCTTTCTAACCAGAAAGAGTGAAGTCTGGTTCCCTAAAGTAAAGGTTGGATTAGGACACAAAGCTTTATTCTCAAGAGAACATGTAACTATAAATATTTCTCTAGACATTCTCTAAATAAGCTTTATTCTCAAGAGAACATGTAACTACAAATACTTCTCTAGACATTCTCAATTTAGAGAATGTGGAGCTTCTCAACCTATAAATACTTTTCTGAACCTTTTCAAAATCTTTAACCATGGATCTTCTCAAAATCTTTAACATGGATCATTTCCTTTTGGCCCCTTTCATGTTCTCTCGGTCTTCATCATTCTATATCTCTCTCCTCCCCTTCTTCACTTCTACCTCTCTCTTAACGTCCATCATTGGATTTCTCCTTCTTCTCGTCTTCTCCACAATCTATGCTCCTCTACTGTTTTTCTACGTCGACGCTCTCGGGAGTATTGTTCTCCTTCTCTATCTGGCATGAAACCATGTGAGAGAAACCTATCCCAAGTAATTGAAGGAGCCAAGCACTCACAAACTCTCCTCAACTAAGACACAAGGTACTTCAGGCTTTCTCTTTCTTCAAGTCGTGCTTGCTCTCTCTTCCGATTGACTGAGCAACAAAATCAAGCTCTGTCCTCCTTCTTCTCTCTTTTTTTGCCTGTTTCTCCTTCCCTTTAATTTTCCATCTCATTTTTACCTCCCCTTTTATTCCCCTCTTCTTTTCCCACGATTCTACCCCATTGTTCTCCATGTCGTTCTTTCCCTCTTGAAGTTTTATCTGCTTCTTGTCATATTCAGCTCGAGTTTAGCTATCAATTGTATTATCCTAAAATTTTCCCTCCTATTGATGAAGCATTCGAGCTTTTACTCGAAGTAGTCGAACTCTTATTCAAAAATGCGGTAGATATCTCTCTCTTTGTCAAAGCCTACTTTGCAAAACAAATTCAAGAGCTATTTTTTTTTTTTTTTTTTTAGAATGTACGACTTATCAATAATTCAAATGTAAAATACAACATATACAAGCAAAGGCACAAGATTACATAAATGAAGTAACCAACATATAGGGAGTATGGACTCCTCCTTTGGTGAGAACATGGACATCTTCATTCGACTCTCTATAACAATTTTGGCCCGTTGTCATATAGGTTGACAAAATATCTCAAATTTGATGAAAAATAGTCCTTAATCTTTAAGGAATATGGGCATTTCTCTTATTCCAGGCAATGATATTTACCGAGTCCCCTTCAATAATCTTGCCCCCCTCCAAAGTGCATAGCAATTTCAAACGTTCTAATAAACCTCGTGCTTCCACCTCATTTGTCCTTGTGAGACCACAAAGACTCGAGTAAGAAAATATAATGTGACCCACATTATTTCTAATGAGACCACCATAGCCAGCTGGCCCTGGATTGCCAAGTGAACTTCCATCAAAATTAAATTTGAAGGAATTCACTGGTAGTGGTATCCAAACAACATCACTACGAGTGTTGGTGGTAACGCCAAGAGTTGTCACTACCAAGATATTGCTAATGATAAGACTTAAATTTGAAAGAATTTGTTGGAGGTGGTATCCAAATAATATCACTACGAGTGTTGGTGGTAACGCTCAGAGTTGTCACTGTCAAGGGATTGCTAATGATAAGACTTGTAGGAGTAAAGTCTATATCCTTATGAGCAAGGAACCAATCAGCTGCAACTGCCAAAATATTCGATTTTAATATAGATAGATTTGTATTTATACTATCAAAGACTCTTCTATTTCATTTTTTCCACACACTCCAAATTAGGCTAACCCAAATAGATCTCTAAAGAATAGTTTCCGTCTTTGAAATATTGGGTGTGATCCATTGGTCAAGAAGAGCTTTGACATTATGGGGCAAAGGTAATGACACGTTGAGGCACTGTCGAGCCCAATCCCAAAGATATATAACAAAAGGGCATGAGAGGAAAAGATGTGAAGTTTCATCACTGTTTTTGCATAATATACATGCATTGGTGATAATAAACCCCATCTTTCTCAAGTTGTCAATAGTTGCTAATTTATCTTGGCATAAGATCCATAAGAATAGCTGCACTTTAAGAGGCACATGCAATTTCTTAATCTTGAATAAACCAGCATCCAACTCTCTCAACGATCAGAAAATAATAAATTGTAGGTTGACTTTACCAAAAGATTTCCCGAATGGGTACGATCCCAAATAAAGCTATCATCCATATTTGGAATCAAATATGTGTCATTCAATAATTCCAACAATGTGTGATACTCCTCAATGAATCTGTCTGTACCTCTCCTGTACCTAGAAGGAATTGACTATACAATATTAATATGAGCACCCCCATCATCCTCCTTGACAGATGCTAGTGGGTTTAATGCTTTTAAGAAAACCTCAAGGAAAAGGTGTCTCAACAGGTCATCTCTAATCCATTTATCAAACCAGAAGAGAGTGGATTCTCCATTCCCCACTAGTTTTTGAAATTGCCGTAGATACACAGATATCTTATAGTCAATACCTCTCCGAACATGTGGCAGACTTGGACTTTTAATAAGGCCAAAGTTTAAATCCATTTTATATTTAGCTCTCAAAACAAGAACCTAGAAAGACTCAGGTTGTGTATGGACCCTCCACTATCATTTTATTAAAAGTGTCGAGTTTATATGTTTCAGTCTCCTAACACCCAATCCTCCCCTTTTTTTTGGTCTATAAACTTTTTTTCAACTCACGAGATGAAATCTTTTTCTTCTTATATTATCTCCCCATAAGAAATTTCTCATAATTCTCTCTAGTTGTTTTCAATTTCTTTTGACATCTTAAATAAGGGCATAAAATATACTGGGATATTGGACAAAGTGGATTAAATCAACGTATCTCCCCCCATAGAAAGAGTTTTAGGTTTCCAAGTGTCCGGTTTCTTGTCAAATTTCTCCACCACCGGATCCCAAAATTGATTTTGAAGGCCTCAAATCCATTAAGGGAATTCCCAAATAACTACAAGGTTATGACTCAACCCCACAACCTAATAAATGTGTCATTCTTGATACTAACATTTGCGGACAACCAATACCAATGAGTTTGGTTTTACTCAAATTAATTTTAAGTCCAATTGAAAGTTCCACACTTTTCAAGAAAATCCATAGGCAAGTGATTTCCTTAACTATGGGATCACAGAATATAATGGTATTATCAACATACTATAAATGTGATACTATAAGACCATTATTACCAAATGGGTAGAAAATAGGCAACCATCAATTCACAATCTCTATCTTGAACAAAAACTCATTTTAGCCATGATACTTTGTAGTACCCCCAATCAACCTTATCATAGGCCTTCTCAAAATTTAGCTAACAAATAAGGCCCGGTTTGTCATCCGTGATTCTTGAGTGGATACATTCTTGTGTAACCAAAATATTATCCATAATTTGTCTATCATTCAAGAATGCTGATTGTGGTCATTTAATAATCATGTAAATCACCTGGCACAGTTTATTGGCTAAAATCTTTGCTTTGATTTTATATAGAGTACCAATAAGGCTAATAGACCGAATATCCTTAATCTCTGCAATGACATTTTTCTTTGGAACTAAAGCAATAAAAGCGGAATTCATGGCAACATTAATTTTACATCTCCAATAAAATTCTTCCAATAGTTGAACAATATCATCTTTCAAAATATCTCAAAAAAATTGAAAAAAAGCTATTGGGTATTCATCTAGGCTAGGAGCCTTATCTCTACCTAGGCCAAAGACTGCATCTCTGATTTCTTGCTCTTCAATTTTTCTCTCCAACCACTGAGCTTGTTCTAATGGCAACCTAATAAAAGGTAGATTTTGAATGGATAGTTGAATCCCACTATCGACCTCATAAGAATTCTTTAAATGATTACCTAGAGCGCTTTCAACCTTTGACATGTTGTCACAGTCTATTCCTTTAATATGGAGGCTTTGAATTGAGGTATCAATTTTCCTTACATTAGCAATAGCATTGAATGATCTCATGTTTTTATCTCTCTCCTTAAACTATTTTACACGAGATATTTGTCTCTAATGAATTTCCTCCAAATTAAGCAACTATTTATATGTACCCGTAAGCTTATGTCTCTGAATTGATCATGTGTTAGAGTCCCTCCCATAAACTAAATATTTTCTAACTCATTTATATGAGACTTTGATGCCCCAATTTTAGATTGTAAATCTCCCCAATTTCTCTTCCATATAATAATCATTTGTTTTAATAGTTAGAGCTTCTTTGAAATTTGGAAACCTTTCCAATCATCAATGGTAATATTTTTCCAGAAATCTTCAATCAGGCTGAGTAAATATCTCTTTGATAGCCACGTCAATTCAAATCTAAACGGGGATGGTCTAGACAAGAAACCGTCAGAGTTAAGGAGAAGATGGACATGATTAGAAGAAATTTTTGGTAAAGCTTTCACACTTATTTTTGGGAAACGAGTAACAAACTCAGAAGAGATAATAAACTTGTCTAACCTTGTCAAAATAGGATCGTGTAAATTATGATTGGACAAGGTATAGTTAGCCCCACTAGAAGGAAGATCAAACAATTCATGGTATTGTATAAAGCTTTCAAATAATCTCATACAAGAAGACATAGAAGGACAAGATGTAGATTAACTTGGTCATCTAATAATATTACAGTCACCACATACCAAC